GGCACAGTATTTCACAAAATATAACGTTAAAAATAAAAATAGAAATGATTTAATTTTCACGTGACTTCCGCAGTAATCTGGTTTGGTTGGATCGGCAACGCGGGACCTCTCTATCGGTCCTCATTTTACTATCTCACACCATAAACGAAGAACTGTTATTTATGTTGTATATATTTCAGCTTGAATTGATTTAATTTGTGATCCTTTTAAGAAGGAAAGTAACAAAAAAATTTTTAATAGCAATATCCATAATCTCCACACATTTCCAAATAATGTGTCAATAATCATAAGAAAGAGACTTTGATAGCCTAAGAAAAAATATTTACACAGGTCCATTTGCCAATTTTTAACAGTTTATTCATTAAAATATGGGTGTAATCAGACACTATAGTGACAAAAACGAAGTGAATTCTTTGGACTTTTATTATAAAATATTGATATGCACCCCGCAGATCATTATCAAAAATCCTTCCCTTCTTAAAGGATCACGAATTAAAAATTTATTGCAAAATTATGAATATTACTTACTAGTTGACTTATTTTTTTAATTGGTTGATCAATTAACTCTCACCATTCTTACTACTAGATTGAATGTGCTATACACCTGAAATGTAAAAAAAAATATATTTAAGGGCCAAGCTGTTCTTAAACATTTCAAGATTGTCATGTTTGACCCATTATCTGTTGTTAAATGCCAACAATTTACTACCAAGTGGAAATTCCTCTAACATAGTTATTTTTATCTGCTAAAAATAACCCTGTATGGATTTCATAAATAAGATTTTTTACTTTCCAGTCCTGGTCAACCCAATGTGCTATCACTCCTAAATGTCCTTGATTAATGGTAGTAGAAGTCCAAGCACCTATAAGAGACAATTTGTTGGGAAATTTATTAAACATCTATTTAACCACATCTTTTTGTTGTATATAAAAAAAATTAATCAAAGTAGATATTGATTGCCAACACGATAATTTCTATTGAGGGTTAAGTTCAGCAACAAAAATTCTTTTTTATACAACACCAAAAGCTCATTGTTCAAACATAATCCATTTCAACGGCTTATTGTCAAGAGTTTTCACTTTTTTAGATTATTTTGTTGTTGATCATTGTCAATAACAAAAAACAAAAGATATTGATTGGTTGTTGTTATAATTCAATTTGATTGTAATTTTCTTTGTAAAAATCAAAATCACCATCAACTTCAAAACTATTTTCATTTTGTTGGAAAAATTCATAGTATTAAATGTGTGAATTTCGCTACACAAGGACCTTTTTGGGGATTTTAAGTCCTAAAGAC